GGCCAGTTTGAGTGTGGGTGTGTGTGTGTGGGTGTGTGTGTGTGTGTGTAAGAGCGAGAATGGTTGTGTTAGTGTCGAAGATGACTGAAGGAATGCCGTATGTCCACAAGCCATTGGTTTAATCACAATGGCACAGACATAGTAAACAAGATTTCCATTTCTGGCAAAGTTCAATGATTTTTCTTGACAACTGCTTTATACTGGGTGGGTTTAATGGCGGCTCTCCTCTGTCAGGTTGTAGTGGCTTGACTGTTGCTTGCGCAACCATCCCAATTTTCCAAAATTTGAAACAAATGAGAGCTCACAGTGAAGGGAGGATAACGTAACCAATACACTTCTCCAAAGAGAGAGGACACAACATCTGCTCTATTTTCTTTGTGTGTACATGCTGTGCATGAGTTGTGCATACCATGGGCACCAGCAGGATGTGGCTGTTTCTTTGTTGTAGCCGCTAATTGTCTCTTAGTATTAGCAGCGTTCAGCATCAATGGCCTTGCAGGCTCTGTGTCTTTGTCTCTGCCAACAGGCTATTCATGAGCACTGACCAACAGATCTCCTTCAGCTCGCCTCCATGTTGTCAGTGGCATGCCTGCCCTCCAGGATTCCAGCGACTTCCCTCTGGCCAGGGGCTCCAGCTCCAAAGGTACTTCTGACCTGCCGCAAAAAAAGAGAATCTGGTCAGCTCAAAACATGCAGTATTAACTAAATAGTGTGTCTAGTCATATTTAGATGGGTAAACAATCTTTTAAAGTAATCAGCAACCATGACATGTTCATATCACATTCAAATAAATTGGATTATTTTTCTTAAATGTTTAAATTAACAGACTATACCACTAGTCTCAAACCAGCATCAAGTAAGGGCCAATTATCGCAAATTTTCATGTCAAATCAAACACATAAAAGTGATGGACCCAGGATTCAATTTTGTAATTTAAACATTTTTGGTTTTTGCACTTTTAAAACAGTTTTCAGAGGCCCACTCACCAACTGAAGCCAAGAACAGCGCATGATCATCCCTGTCCACACATCAATTGTTTCCATACACAATGTGTTTTCTTCACATTATTACTCACAAATCTATGAAGCACAGCCATGAAATGCCAAACATCATGCTTTTGCAACCAGAATGCAAACCAAAGTAATAATTTCAAATAAGTAAAATATAATTGAACTAAACAAAACAAAACAAAACTGCTTCTTATCTGAAAAGTCTGTGGCTGTTGGCTTGGCACGGCTCTTTGTAGCAGTTGATTATAAGTTATATGGTTGGCTTTTAGCAGCTCATGACAGTGGGGCGCAGTGAGTTGAGGGGAGAACCAGAACCAGCTGTTACGTAAAAAACAATACTCAGCAGAGGGAAAACAATGTCTTAGACCTCCACTGTAAGTATGCAGGTGTTAAGGTTCTGAGACATTTTCAAGCGAGAGTTAATGGAAGCAATTTTCGTTTGCCAATTGTGAACGAGATTCAGCCAAGTCTTCCTCCTGTTTGTCTGTGAGGAACTGTACCAATGACAAATGTTACTGCGAGCAGCTCGGAGAAAAATGCGTAAATGCTAGATAATGTCGGGGATTGCTGAGTGCGAATAGAGCTACAATTCCAATCCATGTACACTATGTTTAGTCAGTTTTCATGCCCAGTTTCAGTTGTGTTATTAAGTATAAAGGAATTGTGTCGTATATTAGTATATGGATTGTAAGTTTTCATAAAACATTTAAAAAGGTGAGAAGAATATATTAAATATTTATCTTGTTAAGTATGAAGAAGCTTTGATGATACATTCCGAAGTAGACTTTTTTCTCTTGGTTTCTTTGACTGACTAATTATTGTATCTGGTTTTCACATTAAGTGTTGCACACAGGCTGAAAGGGGACATTCATCAATCACTGCAGAAATACCAATGCTGTGAAGCCATTGCAAAACATACATTATGACTAATCACAATTGTTGAGCATCCACATTAGTATTCCGTACATATTTCCTGCCACATATAAAACCAAAGTGTTGATGATTAAAGGACGAATTCCTAAAATACGTCTTTCCAATTCAAGAAGACCAAATACATCTGTGCCACCCATAAACACCCAGCCATTCACACAGTGCCTATCACCACTGTAAATGACTTTCAACTTTCACAGTGGAAATTGGCTTTGTTAGACGCCGTGCTAGGCTGTCTAAGGTGGGCCATGGTGGGTGTGGCATGAAGAGGTGGGGAGGAGGAGGAGGAGGAGGAGGAGGAGGAGGGGGTCATTCGGTTTGGTCGCTCAAATCCAGCCAGCCAGTGCACGTGAGTGGTGAGAGTGAGGTGTGTCTCTGCCCGCCTGAAGCTGATCGTCCTGATCCGGGGTGTAATGTGAGTTTAATGACAGATTAATCACCTCAGCCACGTTTGGCTCGAGGCCTTCTAGAAAGCCGAGGCGGACCCAAACAGTGTTAACAAATTCTGTCTGGTAACTGAGATGCCTAGTCCAGGCTCTAGCCCAGACCTAGACTGCAGACGATGGCGGCTGGCTGCCTGTTCTGCTTGCTGGCTTCACTTGTCTGCCTAGCCAAGGCCCTCTGCGGTGGAAGACTCTGGCCCTGCACTGGCAAGACAGTCAAAAGGCCAGCAGTGACTCTGGCAATGCAGACAGGGTCAAGCTTCTCTCACTTCCCCCTCCTTCCTCAAAACCACACCCCCCTCCCAGGGGCTTCTTCACAGTGCGGCAAATGCTTCTATCGGGGTCCAGACAGACAACGATCTTACCGATACCAGATGACTGTCAAGTTTTCATGCAGCCTTTACGAAGCTGGGCTGTCATGATAACACGAGAGTCGAAATTACTACTAAGAATCCCACATTTATTTCAATACCTAGCTAGTATGAACACCTCATACGTGCCACGCTTCATTAACAGGGCACCATCCAATCAGAGATTAATCATGACCCCAATCAGTCCGATGCATCCACACTGGCAGCCGAACAGTGTGGCCCATAACCAGTTTCTCTCAGATTAGTCCTCCTAAAGGCCACACTTATGCTGTGCTTAGAGGAATTGCGTGGAGCAGTGAGAGGTAAGCCACCACAAGACGTTGGGTTGCCAGATGGCTCCTAGGATGACCACTGTCACCAATCTGCTTATTATGAAAATGTATTTTTACTGTAATTACTTTAAAATGCCTTGTAACTCGCTCACATAAGGAATTACTGTGGAATCATAACAACAATGGATTGAAATTTAACTGTCACACATGTGGTAAAAATTTATCCAAAATGTTTCTATCTGGTAGTGCAAAATATACCACCCGCCTGTGTGAGTGTTTGAGTGTGGGTGTGTGTGTGTGGGTGTGTGTGTGTGTGTGTAAGAGCGAGAATGTGTGTGTTAGTGTCCGAAGATGACTGAAGGAATGCCGTATGTCCCACAAGCCATTGGTTTAATCACAATGGCACAGACAGTAGTAAACAAGATTTCCATTTCTGGCAAAGTTCAATGATTTTTCTTGACAAACTGCTTTATACTGGGTGGGTTTAATGGCGGCTCTCCTCTGTCAGGTTGTAGTGGCTGACTGTTGCTTGCGCACACTCCAATTTTCCAATTTGAAAAATGAGAGCTCAGTGAAGGGAGGATAACGTACAATACACTTCTCAAAGAGAGAGGACAACATCTGCTCTATTTTCTTTGTGTGTACATGCTTGTGCATGAGTGTGTATACATGGGCACCAGCAGGATGTGGTGTTTCTTTGTTGTTAGCCGCTAATGTCTCTTAGTATTAGCAGCGTTAGCATCATATCCTTGCAGGCTCTGTGTCTTTGTCTTCCAACAGGCTAATGAACTGACCAAAGATCTCCTTCACTGCCTCCATGTTGTCAGTGGTGCTGCCCTCCAGGATCCAGCGCTTCCCTCTGGCCAGGGGCTCCAGCTCAAAGTACTTCTTGACCTGCCGGCAAAAAAAGAGAATTTGGTCAGTCAAAACATGCAGTATTAACTAAATAGTGTGTCTAGTCATATTTAGATGGGTAAAATCTTTTAAATATCAGCAATGACATGTTCATTCACATTCAAATAAATTGATTATTTTTTTTAAATGTTTAAATTAACAGCTATACCACTAGTCTCAAACCAGCATCAAGTAAGGCCAATTATCTGCAAATTTTCATGTCAAACAAACACAAAAGTGATGACCAGGATTAATTTTGTAATTTAAATTTTTGTTTTTGCACTACAGTTTTCAGAGGCCACACTCACACACTGAAGCCAAGAACAGCGCCATGCATCATCCCTGTCCACACATCAATTTGTTTTCCATACACAATGTGTTTTCTTCACATAATTACTCACAAATACATGAAGGCACAGCCATGAAACTGCCAAACACAGCTTTGCAACCAGAATGCAACCAAAGTTAATAAATCAAATAAAGTAAAATATAATTGAACTAAACAAAACAAAACAAAACTGCTTTCTTATCTGAAAAGTCTGTGGCCTGTTGGCTTGGCACGGCTCTTTGTAGCAGTTGATTATAAAGTTCATATGTTGGCTTTTAGCAGCTCATGACAGTGGGGGCGCAGTGAGGTTGAGGGGAGAACCAGAACCAGCTGTTACGTAAAAACAAATCTCAGCAGAGGGAAACAATGTCTTAGACCTCCACTGAAGGTACTGCAGGTTGTTAGGGTTTCTGACATTTTCAAGCCGAGAGTAATGGAAGCAATTTCGTTTGCCCAATGTGAACGAAGTTCAGCCATCTCCTCCTGTTTGTCTGTGAGGAATGTACCAAGACAAATGTTACTGTCAGCAGCTCGGAGAAAAAAATCTAAATGCTAATAATGTCACTGATGCAATAGAGCTACAATTTCCAACCATGTACACTTGTTTAGTCAGTTTCATGCCCAGTTTCACTGTTTTGTGTTTGTTAAGGTATAAAGGAATGTGTCTATATTAGTATATGGATTGTAAGTATTTATAAATCATTTAAAAAGGTGAGAGAATATATTAAAATATTTATCTTGTTAAAGTATGAAGAGCTTGATGATACATTCCGAAGTAGACTTTTTTTCTCTTGGTTTCTTTGACTAATTATTGTAATCTGGTTTTCACATTAAGTGTTTGCACACAGGCTGGAAAGGGGACATTCATCAATCACTGCAGAAATACCAATGCTGTGAAGCCATGCAAAACATTACATTATGACTTGAATCACAATCTGTTGAGCATCCACATAGTATTCCTACATATTTCTGCACATATAAAACCAAGTTTGATGATAAAAACAAATTCCTAAAATAAGTCTTTTCCAATTCAAGAAGACAAATACATCTGTGCACCCCATAAACACCACCATTCCACACAGGTGCCTATCACACTGTCAAATGACTTTTCAACTTCAAGTGAAATTGCTTTTGTCTAGACCGTGCTAGGCTGTCTAGCTGTGCCATGGTGTGTGGCATGAAGAGGGTGGGGAGGAGGAGGAGGAGGAGGAGGAGGAGGGGGTATTCTTTGTGTCTGCTCAAATCCAGCCAGCCATGCCAGTGAGTGGGAGAGTGAGTGCTGTCTCTGCCCCTGAGCTGAGTCTCTGTCCGGGTGTAATGTGAGTTTAATGACAGATTAAGTCACCTCAGCCACGTTTGGCTCAGAGGCCTGGCTAGAAAGCCGAGCGGACCCAAACAGTGTTAACAAATCTGTCTGGGTAACTTGAGCTGCCCTAGTCCAGGCTCTAGCCCCAGACCTAGACTGCAGACGATGCGGCTGGCTGCCTGTCTGGCTGGCTGGCTCACTTGTCTGCCTGTAGCCAAGGCCCTCTTCTGGAAGACTCTGGCCCCTGCACTGGCAGACAGTCAAAAGGCCAGCAGTGACCTCTGTGCAAGTGCAGACAGGCTCAAGCTTCTCTCACTTCCCCTCCTTGCCTCAAAACACACCCAGGGGCTTCTCACAGTGCGGCAAATGCCTTCTATCGTGGGTCAGATCAGACAACTGATCTTACCGATACCAGATGACTTGTCAAGTTTTCAGTGCAGCTTTAGAAGCTGGGCTGTCATGATAACACGAGTAGTCTGAAATACTACTAAGAATCCCACATTTATTTAATACCTAGCTAGTATGAACACCTTCATACGTGCCACGCTTCATTAACAGGGCACATCCAATCCAGAGATTTTAATCATGACCCACGAATAGTCCGATGCATCCACACTGGCAGCCGACAGTGTGGCCCAAACCAGTTTCTCTCAGATTAAGTCCTCCTAAGCACACTTATGCTTGCTTAAGGAATTGCGTGAGGCAGTGGGAAGGGTAAGCCACACAAGACGTGGGTTGCCAGATGGCTCCTAGGATGACCACTGGGTCACCCAGTCTAGCTTCTTCTAGGTCATACAGAACGGGGGCCTCGCCTTGTGTATGGGAGAAAGCGGCTTATGTATGCATAAGGGTGTCAAAAAATCTTTAATCACCTGTGTCTGTGTCAACTGTATTCCCGCTGCTGGAATCCAGCCATGTTAGTCACTGTTGGAGAGCCATAAAACTCAGGAAAGCTCTCTGGCAACACGCCTGAATAGTTACAGTGACTTCTGACTCTGACTAGTTGTGCAGAGTGGACAGTGCAATGACTGACAACTTGCATGGGCTGCATTATTATATTATTATATATAATTGTATTACTGTATTATTGTTTTTTAAGAATAACTAATTAACAAGAAATTTGTCAGCAACTTTTACAAGGTGGAAGAGCATACAGTATCACATGTTTAAAACCTTCAAAAGTGTGTAAATGTAAGGTTTATATATGCCAATTCCAGAGGTAAACAAAATTAGGTAAGCAGTTTTATCTATCTTTTATTTATTTAAGTGTCGTTTCATTTGAGATCCGGGATAGTATACATCCAATAAATCCCCCTAAATATGAAAAGATAAGACTGGTTATGAAAAGAAAGGCTTTCAGACTAACAATAATGTTGCTGACAATGCTGCAAAATCATGCAGGAGGCTCGTTCAGTGGACAGAAGACTACTGCAAAGCTGAGAATGCTACAGTGAGACCTGGCATCGTAGCAACATAGTTTTATTGTGTGAAATTCTGATTTTGATACAAATGCTTTTTCAATCAATTATGGACGCTAAACTTTGTGATGAAGGCTGGATTGGGTGATTGAACTATGACTGAACCTCCTGCACCAACATCTGACACATTCTTGCACAAAGAAAGGTTAATGTTTTATTAGAAAAACCTGCAGTTGCTTTTAACAATTACTTCAGACACATGTAAGATTTGATGATAAACTGATTGATGATGGAGGATCTAAATGCATGTTCAAGTATGCAACCAATGTAATGACTGAATAAAGGAGAAGTGAGGTGCAAATGAAAGTGTATATAAAGGAATTTCTAAGTTAATTAATTTTATCGCTATTGGAAATCAGTATCTAGACTATTTGCAGGAAAGAAACCAAAATAAACTTGCTCTGGAAAGATCATATTTTTCCCAACTTTTGTCTAAAATTTCACATGTTGATTAACAGAGACAATTCAGCAATTACAGTTTGGAAAATGAGTCTGGAGGAAAATCACACACATCATTATGTTTGACAATTTGTGACCCAGTGTTTGCAGGGAGTGGCTGCACAGCTAGTCAACTAATCTTAAGCTCCAACCCAAAGTCAACTTCATGCTCCTTAAGACAGTGGATGGGCATGCATAGCACGTGCACCCAGCTGCTCCATGACCTATGCCAGATTACTAGATGTGATGGTCCCTGTTGGCATCGTGTGGAGTCAAGAGGATATCCTGGTAGAACAGAAAGAGCTTTGGCAGCTGTCTACTGCCAGCAAAGCCCTGCTCTGGCTGGCCTCCTGACCAACTAAACACACCAGGGAGGCAGACAGACAAAAAAAAGAAAAGAAGACTGGATGAGAGAGAAGAGAAAGATGCCTGAGGCCAATTTCAAGTCATGAAGGTGCATAATGTTGGCTGCTGACAATATATGTGAGTGAGAATATACGTGTGACAAATGTATATCCTTCAGGAAGGTGCAAAGATGACAAACCATCTATTCCTAAAATTCAAGGTGCAAGCCTAATGTGACTGTTTACTATGTTGACTTATTGACTTCAACATTTAAGTCAATTTCCATGCAGCATTGTCATTATCTGTACCCTGTATGTTTCCTATAGTCAATCTGGCAGTTGAGTTTGTGCCGAGTAATTCAGGTTAAGTGCCCTTCTCAAGGGTGCAATGGCAGAGGTCCAAGGAAACAGAGTACACTCAATTGACATGCCATGTTCAGGATCTTTCTGATAAAAAGACTTGCTCTGGTTCAATGGTTTTGCGCTATGTACACGTATTTGGGAAATCTACAGTCAGTTGTTGCATTCTTGCAGGGGCTAACAGCAAAGCCAGATGGAACAGACGCAGGTTTGTTGGATACACTCCTATAGCAGATCAGTATCGTAAAAGAAAGTTAAATGACCTGCGCTGTCAACTCTCAATTTCTCATTTAGGGCATTTTTTTCTGTCGAGTCTGGCTCTTGCAGTTGCCTCGGGTTCCAAAAGTCTGAGAAAAATATCGAAACTAAATTCAATAATATCAAATAATACTAATAATCTCTTCCTGTTTAAGTAATAAGATCATAAAAGGAAGAACAGGAAACGTTCACTTGAGAAGATTTTGCCTTTCAGCCATGTTTAAAAAAGCCAAAACATAAAGAGAAGCTGATAAAAAAGACTTACTCAAACAGATATGTTATCCTTTAAACACTGCTTTCCTGCAGGCAACTATCAAAACTCCTCTGTGGAGCAAGGAGAGCTTTACTCAATAAACTCATTGGAGAACCAATGATTTCAGCCTTGAGGTTTTCATTTGGATAAACTTCAGCAGGGATCCTTTTTCAACAAAAATAACATCCTTTGTTCAAAGGCTACTTAAGAGCATGTGTGCATAAAGTGACCTATG